ATTTTACTAGCTAAACCTTTTATAAAAATATTTTGCCACACTGGAACTAATTTAATTTGCCAATTTGATGTTAAGGTATGGTATTGTAAGAACATCATACTTTTCTTCTTCTCATCTGAAATATCTGTTTTTCGTTTTATCTTTTTTAATTTTTTTTTACTCTTTGAATCAAAAAACGTCTTATTTTCTGATCTTTCTTCTTGCTTTTGTTCAAGATCGTCTATCCCAAAAATCTGGGAGAGATGGCAAGTTTCATATCACCAAAGTTCAATGCGATTATGAAACCTTTGGTACTTTACTATAACCTCAATCAACTATAAAATAGTGAATCGAAAAAGTAATTTCATTATAATTTCATATTTTTGATTGGTCGTATAAACTTCAGAATTGTACAAAAATGTATAAAACTTAATATGGTTAAAGTAACGGTAAGTGAAGACATCACTCCCAGAATTACTCTATTTGGACACTAATGTTTTCCATGTCTTTGTGTATCAGAAATTTACCTCTAAATATAAACATGTTTATTTAACCAACTAAATGCAAATGAGAACAGAATTGATCAGATCCGTATTGTTTTCGTTCTAGTTTAGGTTAGTTTTTTATACACCTTGACACTTGATTCAAAATCCTTAAAAATAAAGTATTTTTTTATTGAAACAATAGTTTTGTTTCTTACTTCTGATGTGAGTATTCCACATTTGTTTGTTATATCATTATAAATTATGTGTAGTGGATCAGATTGGAAGAACAGATATCATTGTAATTTCAGTTTACATAGAAAATTATGGTCTTTACAGCTCACATATTTCATAATCTGTTAATCAGTCGTTATTACTTTATAAAGGTGAGTAAAGGAACTTTAATGCCGTGATGCTTAGCATATCCCTTCATGCTTTCCAATTTTTATAAATATAAATATAATATACTATAAAAAATTTTTTAATTTTTGATATATCCATTAAAACATATGGCGATTTTTCTATTTTTTGTTCCAATTTTTTTTGGGTGCAGGACTAAGCAGTTTCAATTTTAGAGTCAACTCATCCATCGTTAAGTCCGTTTGAGTAGAATGTTCAGTAGGTTGATCTTTATCCTTTCCAAAACATGTAATGGTACCTTCATCGATTACAATTTTTCTTAGCTGTTTGTTCTTTTGAGTAGCTGGCACTATAAAAAAACGGTTTTACACAATATCTACTAAGACTTAAAAAACGCAAAAATTAATTGCTTTTGAAGTTTAGAAAACACCTAAACACTTTTAACAGACACAAAATAAGATCATTTGTTGAAAAATAAACAAAAAAACAAAAAACAGTTATTTCTTTGTTTGTTCACTCTGGGACTCCATATCGAATTGCATTTGACAGATCGTTTGATTGGGAAATTACGATCTCATTTATACATCCAACAATTACATATTACAACACAATAATTGCTTTGTACTTTCCAACCGTAGTTTCCTAACAACAAGGAAAAAGCTCTTTGACGCCAAAAGTCGCAACTTTTTTTGGTGTTGACTATGACTCTGGGATTTTCGTCCATTATTTAATATGCAAAAATAATTAAAAATTCAAAATAATAATTTAAAAAATTTAGCAAAATGAACGTTTTATTAAAATTTTGTCAGGACAAGTCTACTAACTAAATCAAAAAGATTATTTCTAAAAAAGGTCCATTTGAAATATGACGCTTAAAATAATTTTCTTATGTTCTCGTCATTTAACTAAAGGCGTTTTTATGACTTCTTCGCATCTATTTGGTGCACAGGGATATTTGGGACAGATTGAACCGACATGCCGTCCGGAATGGGAATGTGGAACATAAAACGGAACCTATACGGACTTTCTTCGATAACGTATCTTATCACCTCTCATTAAGAATTCCACAACTAACCTCTTCCGAGAAATTAGCTACTTCGACTGCAAGACTATTTTAACGATCCACATTCCGTAATCTGAATGTATTAGCCGAATCAGCTCACCAAAACCAATTTCTACGCTTCACAAAAATTTAAAACATCTTACCGATTTTAATGACCTTTCTTTTCAGATCTAATGCATAAATTTTCTAATTCCTTTTTATAAAACCTGAAGGTGCAAGCTAATAGGGACACAAAATATATATACTACAAAGGACCGCTGCACTTTTTAATTGGAAACTGACCGGCGCAGGTCAAATTTAATGAAGGTTCCATACGGGGTGTTCATTTAACCTGAAGCATCAAAAAAATATCCCTGAAATGTATTGATTGAGGATACCCCATTTGGATGTGCTGATTATTCCTTTTTTTTGCTATTAAAGTCACATATTATATCCAAAATTCTCAATACGCTTGCTATTCTCACTAAGAAGAAAGTTGCCATAATTAAATTAAGAAGGTGTCAAATAATGTAATCGCCAAAATCCATTATAGATTTAGTATCAGTATTTGGAACCATGTTCTTCTTCAGTTACATAATATTCGTAGAAGTAATTTGGAAGCAGATAGTGTTAACTAGAACACATCTATTTCCATCGCAGATTTTATGGGGATATGATTTTCATTCATAAAGTTCATAATTTTTAAACCTATTTTTGGGGTTTGTTTGAATATTGGATAGCAAGTTTTGTAACATTCATCTAAAATTACTTTTTTGTTCAGAATCCTCTGCTATGACTATTTTAAGGTCTAGAGGGTAAACAAAAACTAAAACGCGTTGAACATACGTTACATTTCGATTGCAAAATACTTTTGCTTTACTTCATATCAGGACTACCTAATATGAGTCCTGTAAATATAAATATAAATATCAATAAAATATTATAAATCTGGAAGCTTAATCCATAAAATATCCAGGTATAAGTCTGGATTGTCATTTAAAATGGGATCTTTATGCTAAAGAATCTCTAGACATGATCAGACACCTGATTGAATCAAAGCTTAGCTTTGAACTAGGTGGTTGGGGGAAACAAGGGATTCTCTCATTTTTAAATTTTTGAGTAATTCAAAAATGATTATTAAAATTAATTTATGAAAAGAATATTCTTTAAGTGGTACACTTTATTAAGACACCAATATATTTCGCTTACGAAAATTGTATTTTTTAAATCTCATTAAGACCATCAAAAACAATAAAAACACCACCCAGTGCAGCGGTTATATTAGGTCACAAAAGCAAGCCCTAGTCACTAGTCAACAAGGCAACATGGTTTCTTAGTTGATGTTGATGTTTTTTTACGAACTCATTCGTACATCCAACAAATACAAATTAAAACACAAGACCCTCGGGCAATGTTTTTCTAAAAAAGTTATGGCACAATTTTAGTTTTCATAATACCTTGCTTAAATGTATTTAAATCATAATTATATATTATCACGCAACGCCAGGTGCTCTGTGCGATTCCAATCCTTGGTTGCTTTAGTTTAAGATTCGAAAATACATTTATATGATGATGATATAAAACTTTATGCTGTTATTAAAAATTACGTTAACTGTCTAAAACGTCAACAAACCTTGCAGAGAATATATGACTAAATAATGATAAATGTTTTGTGCTTTGCTTTAATAGAGATAAGGAATAAGAATAATTTTAATATAAAATTGATTGATTTATCATAAGAAATTGTAAGGTTTTAATTTCACATGTCTTAAAACATTTTATACCTCATTTGTCACAAGTATTCTTTAAGATTGTTCTTTTATATGGAGTCCTTGTCAAGGTTATAAAACTCAAAAGTATATCACTGAAAAGGATCAAAATAAGTTTCTAAGGTATTTGTATGACCGTGAAACTGGTGTGTACCAAATACACATACCAAAGACCGAAATTCACTATCGACGAAATAGAAGAAATTCGTCTGCAGTAATTTTTTTTATGCAAATTGTTAAATAATATGACTAATGCTCCCGAATTATTAATTCAAATTAAAATTCATACTCCCTAATACACAAAACCCCCTGAATTTTTATGTAGACAATGTCCACTCAATATTAATACAGTCAATCGAACCGTTTTATTTGACTGTATACAAACAACTAACCAAAACTGAGTGTTACAGCAATTCATCAATTATTGTTATACGTAAATTGTGCAATCGTAAATCTAAACTCTTTGAAATATGGAATTGGTGATTAAATTGCATCTTTCTTTTTCTTAGGTTCTACTCTGTAAGTGTTGAGTATCTGAATAAATAAATAAAATAATCAAAATTAAAAAAGATGAATTCAGCAAACAAGCATCTTATGCATATAGCCTTTTTAAAACTTCTTATTTTTCTGTAGACATCTAATCAAGAAATAATTCCTTAATTCAAATAATATATGTTTTAATTTATATCCAATATAATCTTTCTCTCGATTATGACAGAACATCCTAACAATAGATAAGTTTCCAAAATTTATATGGAATAACCCCAGTAATGACCATAATATAAAACTTTTAATATACTCTTATATCCATTTTTTCGTTATTTACATATTATTTTAAAGTAATTTTTGTAAACTTTTATTTATTTATTGTAAAGTAATAAATAAACTTTTTTTTGCTCCTACTAACATACATATAGTCAAGCTTAAAGCAAAATAAATATTCTAAAGGATCTTCTCTCAATTATGCCTATACAGAGCACTCTTTTATGGGGTCTATATATTATAATTGGTTTTTCAATAGAGTGTGTTTTTTTTTTAAATATCTATTAACGAAATAATAAATGTATAGGTCTTTGGTATAGTACATTTATAAATTAAACGATTAAGTAGCAATGACACAAAACACAAAACGGTTTTATTATTATTAAAATGTGTTTATAATGCAATAAATTATTTAATACGTTTTGACGTTAACTGCACAGATTAAGGACCTCCTTTTGCATGTATAAGAGATAAATGCTCGACGCAACATGGATAAAGTTGGGTCTTTTCTGTATCGAATCATTTAGCATTGAGTTTTTGAGACAAATAAATTAAGATGGAAGTTGGTTCAAACCGCCCCTAATACGAGTTCTTTTTTAATTTCAGATAATGTAAATAAGGCTATCCCGATAAAGCTACAATTATGATTTACTACTACGACCACCGCAGGACCTACCTCTTTATATTTTTCCTGATCTCAGCAATCGCCACACAAGCTGAAGACCTTTTAGACCAATACGTGAAACACGTGGAATTAGTGAACGGTTTCGAACGAACTAAGGAACATTCAAACGATAGTGCAGTTTTAAGGACGTCCAGTGATGTGCTCGTGGAAGAAAAGTGGCGAAGAAAACGTCAAGTGTCGTCTGATATCGTATGGACCCATTCGGCCTCGTTGGATCGCGAAGGTTTAGTAGTTTTAAGGTGGCAACCCAGGCACCAAGAAATCCTGTTTCGAGTCGAAGCCAAAACGCTAGGGTATATTGGCATCGGATTCAGCCCAAACGGTGGAATGGAAGGGGCGGACATAGTCATGGGATGGGTCGACGACCGACTGTTGAAACCCATGTTGGTGGTAGGTACACGTGCGGAAAATTGGTTTTATTGTATTGATCTCTGTGAAAATTGAAAATTAAAGAGCCAATAATAAAAAAAAAATAGAAATCACTTGATCGTACAAAATGTGCGTTAAATAAACTGAAAATAAGCATCACTTTTTTTAACTTTCGTAACCCAGCATTCTTGAATTTCACTTTTAGAACTACAGTTATACATGGGTATGTATGCAGAGCGTCCAAAATAATGTTGTCAAACTCAAAAACTACAAACGATTGAAAATAAATATAAAAAGAAAAGTTGTATAGTTTCATCTAGATTTTGATTTATTAATTATAATTTGAATAATAATAATTTTAATTATAAAAAACCTAAAAAGGCAATTTTTTTAGCCACTATTCTTATAATTTTAGATATACGTTTTGACATAAAAACTTAAGCTGTCTTTCTATCAGGTTGTGTTTATTCTGGTGTTTTATAACAATTTAACACTTTCTATTGTAATAATATATATATATAAAAATATATAAATAATAGATACAATAATAAATTATGCTCCTGCTCGTGTAATGCAATCTTTTAAATCTTAATCCTCTTCATATACTTTTCTTCCAAAAATTCTTTTATTGGAGACTTCTTTTTTGTTGATATTTTCTTTGATAATATTTTGTGGTCGAAGCGAGATTTTTGTTGTTTTCAATATAACAATTATATAGATGAAATCTTTTATTTTGTGAATACATATTTGGTTTAAAGTGACGGACAGATTTAGCGTATACTAGTGAGACAAAATTTATTGCTTCTGTAGATTATATATGTCTTTACTAGCCAGAATTTACGTAAAGCTGCTGAGAGTGAATCTTTTTGGTCCACTCTATCAGTGATTTCGATTTATTTGTCGTTCCCAAAATGATGCATTTATGGCAAATTGTCTCAGCTGTTATTGTTCTGAACAAGTTAAAAAATCCTCGATACTGAAAAAGAAAAGAAACGTATGGATTAAAACAAGGCAAGCAAATACATTTTTCTCAATATTATTGAAATAATTGCAAGAACATGCAAAGTCTAACAGATTTTATTTGCGAACGTACAAAGAAACTGGAGCCGTTGATCAAAAATAACGGAATTCACCATCTGAAAAACTCGACATTACTTAGCAAAAGAAAAAAACTTCCAGTGATATTAAAAGTAATTCAAAACTGAAATTGAAAAAAATATATTACTGTCAAAAATAACTGTTTCCATTTATTTCATTCGCTGCGAAGTATATATATATCGTCTTAATTTCGGGCTCTGAAAAGACTGGTAGAACTTGCTGCAGAAAAGACTCAAAAAAATTGTGCTGTCGAAATGAGCATTACAGAATTTCTTGCTATGGCAAGAAATTGCTAGATACGTAAGTTTCGTGGTGGAATCGGTGAAAACAGTTTTTAAAAAAATTTGACTTTATTTCTTAAAGTACAACTTTGGAACCGACAATTCATGCGAATTTACAACGTGAGCGCCCTGAAGTTAAGAAGCAACTACTTTTAATCCGGCGAGAAACGAGGCACCAGAGCTTGCACATAACGATGCACTTATCAGCAACCGATTCGGCGAAATTGCATTTTGTTTAGTCTACGTCTACACTTCATCAACATATAACTTCTCCCCCCTTAGGAACGAACTACCCTTCCAGAAGGGTATGAGTTAAACAGCATACTCTTCTACTTCTGTAGTTTCTTCAGGATTAGACCTATTTTTCCATCGGTGTACCATTATCCAAACGAAGTATATCAGTATCAGGAACAAACCAATATAAAGGAGTAATGTCCAGATACTTAATCCTTTTACATTTATTACGTTTTCTTTAATTTTGTTAATTTTATTTTTTTGTGTTTCCAATGCAGTTCCAATAGTTTTTAAGTCATCCAGTGGAATTGTATCCAATACTAGTGGTTGCAAATTATTTTCTTCATGATTACTTATAGGTGTTAAGTAATTAAGATTTGGTAGTTGAATTTGTTTAAGTTTCAGTTTAGATTGTTGATAAATTCTTAAAGTAATTTGGTCCAGTTTTACTTCACAATCTGGGGTAAGTTCCACTATATAGGGTCCTTCAAGCGGGATATATTCTTTCTCTTCTCCACATTTTTGCTCAGCGATTAAGTCTGTTGGGACAATTAATAGAAAATGTCTTCCTGACAGTTTTTGTAGTTTAACATTCTTCAAGGAAACGTTAATCATATTACAATTGGTCACGTTCCTTTTATATTTCAATAACTGTACTTCACAGGGTGAACTGACGTCGATATTTATCGGATTATTATTTTTACACAAAAATTCGGATTCAGTTATCTCGTAGCACGGATCATTAGTCAGTATGTATTTATGCTCATTTAGAACAAGGAATTTCGTAGATGGGAATATCGATTGATAGGTTTTTAGATTTTTTACTGGAAGTGGGAATAGTTGAAAGTAAGAATAGCTTTCCTTTTCGGTAATTGGAATTTCTATAATAAAAATCAGTTTATCGGGTTTAAAATAACTTTTCACTATTGCCAACTTTTCGAAGAATAATAGATTTTCCAATTCTGGTTCACAGATTAATTTATGATTTTTATTTAAATATTTTTTAATAATATTTAATTCTTTTAGTAAATCTATAGGTTCTACAATAGAATTATGAAGAATATTCAACTTTGCAAAAGTTATTGCGTTTCCTAGGTTTTCCAAAATATTATCAATCATTTGATATTCTGTAATTATTTGAAATAAGACAGTTTGTATCAGCAATAGGTGGAAATTTTCTACCATAGTGATTTTAGTTTGTTTAATATTTTGTTCAATTTGCATAATTCGGCTTTGAATAATTACTTGATTGTGCGCCAGCAAATTTGTTGTATTATTGAATTTTTGAATCGAGTTTTCTAGGATTGATGTTTGGTCTTCAAGAATAGATTTTATTCCGTTCTGGTTTTCGGAGAGCGTTTTTAGAAGGCTGTCGTAACGTTCAGCATCTTCACTATCTAGGTTTCCTGTTATTAATTTTATAAATGAGCCTAACCCATTTATAAGTCCACGTTTTTTCTTATTTGATTTCATCAACGGTGGGTCAATTTGCAAAAATTGTGATTGTATTTTCTCTTCGAGTGTAGCCAATATCTGAAGAGAATTTTGAAATTCGTTTTTATAGCCTGCACTATTTTCATATTGTTCAAATGCTTGTTTTAAATTATTTGTAGATGTCTTTAGAGTAGTAAACTCCTTACTAATAGTTGCTAAATCAAACATTTGGATAAATGTCCATGTATTCACCTGGTTTTGTGCGATTCCAACTTTATAAGGGAAAAGTCCGGGGTTGTTTTCGATTGGTTGAAAGATAGATGTTCCGGTTACAGCAACTAAGAACACGATTCTGTAACAGAAACGGGTATTCTTAATTCTTTAACATGAAGAACAATGATTTTATTATTCTTTTTGTTTTTTACTTTAACCTTATTATTTTCAAGAATTTCTATTATTTCGAATGGGCCAGAAAATTTATTTTCCTTTTTATTTCGTTTCTCGTTACATTTAAACACTGTCTGACCTAATTTAAATTGAATTTGAGTAGGTCCTTTGATGTTATGTTTATTAATTATTTTTTGTTTTGTCTGTTCATTTGTCTCATTTACCTTTTGATAGATACTTTTTAGTTTATTTTTGTGGTTATCGACATAATCTGCATAAAATGTACTTTCAATAAGTTCGTTCGGATCTCGAGACGCTGTGTGTCCTAATATTAGTTCGAAGGGTGTGTATTTGGTGGTTGAATGTATGGAACTGTTATATGCAATGAGGGCATATTCTATTATATTGGTATCATTTTTATACTTTGAACGTAATATTCTTAGATGTTCTAATAGAGTTGAATGAAAGCGTTCGACAGGCGAATTACCTTCATGGTGCATAGGGGTTGTGAAGTGGATATTTATTTTATGTACTTTTAGCAATTCTTTCACAGTTTCATTATTAAATTCCTTTCCATTATCCATTACTATTTTTTCAGGTAATCCATAAAATGAAAAATATTTAATGAGATTGTTACATACTTCAATCGCAGATTTTGATTTTAATTGAAAAGCTTGTCCCATTTTTGAAAATTTATCAAAGATTGTAACATAATTTTGTCCATCAAATTTGAAAACGTCTATATGTAGAATTTGAAAAGGTTTATTGGGTGTCTCGGTTAGTGCTAATGGAGAGTATGGTTTTTTTCTTGCATATTTTGCGGTTTGGCAGACCTCACAGGAATTTATATAATTTGAAACGTCCTGTGTTTCATTGTTGGCCAATAATAATTTCTACGTATCTGTTCAATTGTTTCATTAATACCTCGATGGTTACATTTTCCTTCGTGTTGGAATTTTATACTCATAATTTGTTCGTCTTTTTCTTTAACTGTGTTTACCATTTTGGTACACCTAATTAATTTTAGTCCTTTGACATAAAAGAATTTTCTGTAGATATTTGAAAAATCTAAATACTGAGAGTCATCTTGGAAGTAAAGGTGAAATATACGATCTATAGATGTATAATCTCTTAAAAATTCAAATATTAAGTTATCGTCTTTTTTTGGGATTTTAATTTCTAAAATTTTTAATTTTCCAAAGTCATTTTTTGTTATATCTAATTTTTTATGAATGTTAGGGGAAATAATTATTTGGAATGGCTTATTATTAATAATTTCATCTAATATGGGTATACCATTATTTACTGAATCAGAATTACTATCGGAATGTGGTGTTATTTGGCTATCAGGAGGGTTAGTATTGGTTAGATCATCATTTGGGATGTTTTCACTAGTAGAAGGGGTTGGACCATCTTCTAATGGTTTCTCACATAAGGATCTGAGAAATTCGACAATATCTTCATTTACATCACCCGGTTGATTAACGATGCTTTCAGTTTCGAGGGCATTTAATTGAATACGAGACAAAGCATCCGCGTTACTATTATATTTACCCTTTTTATAAATGATTTCATAATCAAACTCTT